GTACAAATATTTCCTTTCAAAAAGACCACCACAACATATTACTGTAGACATGGGATACATTCAAAAAAATCTTCTTTGCTTTGATCAGCATTTACTTATTTAAAAATTTCTGTCAAGGTGATGAGCTAAATACAGTTTCCACTGGGGCTGGAGGAAAGTTACAGGAAGCTTATGTCATATCCAGATATCATACTATGTGGCGAATTTAACCCTCAGGTCATCTATTCATACCAGTATCCATGGAGATGCCACCTGCCTAATCATGCAGATTGTTTCCAAGTGTTCTCTTGTTCCTGACTTTGAGGTCTTTTTGGGATCAGCTTTCTCTCACCATTTTTATGGCTCATTCAGATCTGTTTGCCTAAATAAAATAATCATTTGCATTTTGTGGTTCTCTGCCACTGCACCAAGCTTCACTTGGGAGTTGGAACAGCGATGTTGTTGTTCTTATATCACCCGAACAGATTTGGGATTCTGTTGTGCCCCTTTCCACTGGGGATAAATCTTGTGCTAGCAGGGGCAGAGGTAGTCATAGTACATGGGGTTTCTGCTTATGAGCTATTGTATTAACAGGTATAGATTACTTTAATTCAAGTAACAGAAATCCTTACTAACAGAGGCTTAAACAAGTAATCATCTCACACAACAAGAGGTCTAGTACAGCAGCTTAACTTTTTTACATTATTTTCTTCCAATACTTTCACTTTATCCTTAGCTATTGTTTGTCACCAATTGTGACAAACACCATTGTGTTTGTCACCAATGTGCTTTTTCACATCTGCCATATCTCCAGGTGTCACATTATGGTCAAAGTGGGATACAGGAGTAGTCCCAACCACATTCCATTCCACCAGAAAAGCACTCCCTAGCCCTGATTTCCTTATATCACATTTTCTGTAACTATGTCACACAAACTCAGAACTATGTCTAGAATTAGCATGTAATACTGACAAAATTAGTATACGGATTTCTAGCTTGTATAGTTGAAAGCGATAAAGAAATGGATTTGAAAAGCCATTCTAAATTCTCACTTTTCTTCTCACTCTTTTCATTCCCTATAGTCCCAGGAAATTTTATACAGTCTCTAGAGGACAAATATCAATTTGCTGCACTCAGTACCCATTTCTATCCACCTTCTCCATTGCTTTCTTGTAGTCTGTAGGTTAGAAACTCCTAAATGCTTGATTTCTCAGCTTCTGCAGTCAATTTTGTGTGTGTGTGTCCGTGTGTGTGTAAGTGTGGCACTGATGGTGAGGCTTCCTGTCTCAAATGAAAAAGTCAGGGAGGCTTACTTGGAAAACTCTTTACCTTCATCATTCCATTTTCTTCCTCTAAGGAACGTGGTTTTGATGCCTGCAGGTGCAGTAGTCATGAGGGACAAAAATGAAGATATAAGATGAGGGAATGGAAATAACTTGAAATATGATGGCACTGTGGACCTATTGTGTCTGATTTCTAGGGTTTATCTCTGAACTTTGGATATAAGACCAATATATCCCTGCTTGTTTAAGACAGTCGTGGAGTTTTCTGCTGTTTGCAGTTAAATGTAGTTCTATTAGGCAAAAATGAATATAGAATCACACGATTATAATCTCAGCTCTCAGGAGACTGAGGCAGGAAGATTATGAGGCCAGTCTGGGCTACACAGTGAGTTCAAGGCTGGCTTGCACTGTATAGTGAGAACAAGTCTCAAAAGAAAAGTTCAAACATCTCTCTGTGTCAGAAAATGATGCCATGTAATACAAGGAAAAAGGTCTTACTTCATTTATGATAAAACACATTTAATCATAGTTACAAGTACACAGAGACCCACCCAAATTAGGCTAGAGAAGGAAGAGTATTTACTAGATGGGTGTAAGTAAGCTCATGGACCTATTGGTAGCAAGTCCAGCTGCACTTCAAAACAGAGCACAACCAGAAACTGGAAAGTCTTGGAAGCCATTACACATATTCCTCTTTTCTGCCTGGACTTTTAGTCTTGTGTGTGTGTGTGTGTGTGTGTGTGTGTGTGTGTGTGTGTGTGTGTGCGCTAGGAATTGAACTCATGACCTAGCACTTGCCAGGCAAACACTGCGCCACTGAGCTATATCCTTGGCTCTCCTCTGTGGACACAGGATCTCTTATGATCTGCTTTCTTTTTTTATTGGCATTGGCTTTTTCTTCTTCGTGAGCAAAGCAGAAAATAAATCATTTATGTCTTATCAGGTTAAATAAAATCTCGAACTGAGTAACATTACTTTCATTTTTGAACTTCTCTGGAGAAAGAATCTGATTGGCCCAATTTTTTTTTGTTGTTGTGTGTCAATCTTTAATCAAATTAGTGGTAACGGGGGTGGGATGACTTAGGGGCTAAGGGAGAATAGCACAGAAAAGGGCACGGATATGTGTGTGGGAGGCAGTGCTGCTGTTGAAGAAACAATAGGCATCTCTATTACTCTTCTGAAATTTTAATCAGCTAAATGGTGAAGCAACTAATGACCCATTCACTCTACAGACATTAGTCTCACTTGTTCTTACTCATGTGTTCTCTCTCAGGGAATGTCAGTCGATTCAGCTAGTTGCCCTTGTCACAGACTTCTACACAACCAGTAATGATCACAACAGTTAATATTTATTGACTGTGTGCATTGTATGATAGGCATGCTACACGCATTATCTTAAATTCACCCTGAATACAACTCTACAAGTACTGTCTATTTTATTGATAAATAAAGTGAAATTTTGAGATGTTAAGTCAAGCCTTTAGTATCTCTTTTGGATTACTGAATAATTTCGGGTCTTCCTGTCTGTGATCTCGCCCCTCAGATCTCCTCTTTTATACTTGGTGGTCATGATGATGCTTCTAAAATACAAATCTAATCGTGTTACATTTCTGCTTAAAACCCTTTGTCCAAGTTCCTTAACATGATATATAAAGCCCTCCATGCTCTGGACAATCTCAATCTTTATGACTTTGGTCCAAATCTCTATCTTTAAACTGCACAGATTATTTGCAGTTTTTGTGTCTTATTTTTAATTGACATAGGTTACATATTTATGAGGTACATATTTGCAGTTCTTTTTGGGGGGGTACTGGGAATCGAACTCATGACCTCACGCTTGCCACAGCACCTCAGGTGCTGTGCCACTGAGTTATATCCCCTGACCCCAAATTTGCAGTTCTTAAGTGTCATTTCGTATCCCTGTACAACAACCTTTTAGCTATTCTCCCAGCTCACTCCCACATGTTATCTACACTCACCATTTAGTGTAGATTCTACCCCATTCAGAAACTTCTGGATTGAAGGGAATACTTTGTACTCCTGTAGCACTCAGCACTTTTCTCCTATACATATCATCAGACTGTAATTGTTTGGTAACTTATTCCTTCTTTTGCTCTGAACTGTAAATTCTTGGGAGGGATTATGTTTGTTTCAGTGGTAAATACTCTAAGACTGGTATAGTGCTTGGCATATAGTGGCTGCTTCATAAATATCTGTTAAATGAATAATCTTAAGTCTAGAAGTCCTCCCAAGCTACCTGGAGAGAAACAAATATTCAGTATTTCTTGTTTAGTGAATGGATTATCTTGTCAGTTTTACCCCTTATCAGCAAGCTTTTGTTGTACAATTTATAAAAACTGAGTGCAAAAAAATCTAAAAATAAAAGTAGTTGAGAAAACATGTCATAAAATAATATGTGATATATAGTAAGAGAAAACTATCAACTTAGTGTAAGGTAAAGAAAGCTGAATGAAACAATATGATTGTGGAATTGGGGGTGAAAAAGCAAGAATATTTTTCAGAACTTACTAAATGAAATGTACTTTGTTGGTAATAGTGCATTTAAGCCTTGCAGTAATTCTTTGATATTTTTATGCCTCAATAATGTTGAAGGATAACTAAAAGTCAGATTAGAGCAAAATAGACTGAATGATGTTGTACTTTGGATAAAACAAATGACCTACAAATAAGAAGCAAATGAAGGAAACTATAATCAACTCCAGAAAATATTATAGAGATTATTCCAGGGTAAATCCTACCACACCCCAATTATCCTCTTACTAGGTCTGGCTTTCTGGATCAGTTTTTGAGGTTCTTTTCTTAAAGTGATTTCTTTCACTCTCTCATCTGCTTTGGATATAGGAATACTTCCTTTCTTTCACCAAGATAAATTCTACTTCCTCCCTCATGCTCTGTCTCACTGTAACTCATTTCTTTGCTCCTTGGGGATAGAATCCAAGGTTTTGCACATGCTAGAAAGGGGATCCTACCACTGAGCTACACCTTCACCCTTAATTTTCTTTTGAGCAAAACTTGCTTCATGAGATTTGGTTTTTGATTTAGCTGTACTTTTTCCAATTTAGTAAAGCACCATGACCTCTTTTTTAGGGAATTGTCAGCAACACAAGCGGTGAAAAACAGGCTATTATTGTAGATCACACAGGAAAAAGAAAAAGTAAAATCCTTAACAGTGGCTGTGTTTATGTGACCATAAACAGTACTGTACACGATGGAAAAGTTCCATCATTTCCAGCTGTTAAATCAAGTATTGCTTTAAACTTTCTAAGACACATTTTATTACTAAAAAAAGTGGATACTAGTAAGTCTTCTGACTACTCTGGGACTTCTGTAAAGATAACATGAAGTGATTTATGTGAAAATGCTTTTCAAGTATTTGATAAAATGCTGCAAAAATGTTTGTACCCGGCTACATGCAAAACCAAGACAAAGTAAGTTCCTGTGCCAAAGAAACTCAAAAGAGGCAGGTCACTGGGGAGAGGAAGCGGCGCATCGCCGCATGACGTCATTCTCCCGCGCCCGCCGCTCCGGCTTCCCAGCAGGGCTCAGGGCAACCTTGCACGCCATGGGAATTTGGCAGCGTCTGTTGCTTTTTGGTGGCATGTCGCTCCCGAGAGGTGGCCGGGCCCCTTGGTCTCTTAGGGGTATCCGAGCATTGGTTTTTCGCCGCCAGGTCCGTGGTGCTGCAGAGAGAGCCCAGAGAGGGCGGGATGAGGATGCAGGTCGGGTCGGCTGCAGGTTTCCTATTGTTGCCTCTCGCGACACGGGACTCAGCTCAGACCCTCTTGGAGGAACTCCTGTCCCCCTTGGAGTCACAGTGAGGCCTTATGGACTGGCTTACGGAGTTGCCCATTTTCTGGCCGGCCCACAGTTGGTCCAGGCTGAGGTCCAGGCTGAGGTCCAGGCTGAGGTGTGGCAGGCCCTGAAAAACATGGTTAGAACATGGGTGTATGTCTTGCACATCCCATTTTGGGATTTGGGGTTACTTTGTAAACTGTTAAAGAGAAAGCAAACGTGCAGGATTTAAGAGGCAGCTTACTTATTTTCCATTTTTCAAAATCAGCGTGCCCTGGCAAATCTCAATTTATAAACATGTACCTTTACAATTATGATCAGTAGTACTGATAGTAGGTAAATAGCACTTAAAGGATGAACTAGTGGAGATGAGAATTAGGAAAGAAAGCCCTCTTAGTCACAGAGCCCGAATTGTTTTAAATTTTACAACAGAAAAACTTTCTTTCTTTTCTGAAGTTATCTGGCGCCGAGGGTGAGAACCTAAGACAAAGAAGAACACAAATCATGTCCCGAGGACTTCCAAAGCAGAAACCCATAGAAGGTGTTAAACAAGTTATAGTTGTGGCTTCTGGAAAGGGTGGAGTTGGAAAGTCTACTACAGCAGGTATTACAGGATATTCTGATACTGATTAAGAACTTATGACAAATTATTAAATTATAGATTAAAAATGTTTAGTATTTGTGAAGTTTCTAACAGCTGGTTCCTTAGTATTAGGAGTTGATAACGAATAGGGACTTAGATTATGTAGTTAGACAAAATTAAATGTAGAACCAGGTTGTCTACTCCTTAATTGGTCAAATGTCTGTCCAGCAGTTCTTTACTTACTTGAGTGTGAAACCTCTTTTATGAGATGATTATGCAAATTAAGCTAACCCCTTAGGCCTGTGTCCTCCATAGTAAGTACTCAATAACTGATTGTTGTTGGTCTTAAAACATCTAGTAACTTTAATAGTAAATTATTTCTGTTCTTTTCCAATCTTTATCAGTGGACATATAACTAGATATTTGCCATGAGATTGTTTGTTATGACTTTTTCATTTAACCATACTACAATTTTCACCATTTCTATAGTCACCATAGAACTGTTTCAAAATGCATGAGAGATTTAGTGTTTTAATTACTATATCTTTTAGTACCACATTAATGTACTATGGAGAAAGTTTTTTTGATGGCCCTTTTTATTGATTATAGATTTGTCTCTAAAATGGTACTTTCAAAACACATAGAAGTGCCATCAGAACTAGTCCAGTTATTTCCAAAGATTTCTAAAGAAACCTTTTATTTCTAGAAAAAATTATTGTTATAAATGTAAAAGGGAAACTTCTCATAGTCCTACTCAACAGCAATAAGTTGAATTATTTTTTCAGCTTTGTTGAGGTATATTGACAAATATTGTGCATATGTAAGGTGTGGGATTTGATGTTTTGATACATGTATACATTGTGGAATGATTTTCACAATTAAGCTAATTATTGTATCCATCACCTCAGGCTGAGAATTTAGCTCAGTGGTTGAGCATTTGCCTAGCATGAGGAAGGCCTTGGATTTAATCCCTAGTACTGGGAAAAACCCAGACCAAAACAAAACATCCACAACAACTTCATTTAGTTACAGTTTTGTGTGTTTGTATGATAAGACTACTTAAGATTACTGTCAGTGAATTTCAATATGTTATACATTAGGTCTGCAGAGCTTACTCATAACTGCAAGTTTGTTATTAGACTTGTATTCTTATAAAGCACTCATATCTTTCACTTATTGGATTTTCAGTCATTTCAATAGCATGACCAAATAATCTTTTTTTGCAGTTGTTTAAAAAATGATTATCTTTAATATATTTTATTTTCTTAATTTTTGTCTAGTTCTAGACTGACAAGATTTTTAAAATTTTGAGCTTTTTTTTCAGACTTGTATCCTCAAGTCATAAAGCATATTTACAGTAAAATTCTTTAGTTCCATTGAGGTCAACAATTTGAAATAAGAAAGACCAGGTAAAGGATTCTGTGAATCTCATTGGAGATCTTTTGTGTTGACTTGAAGCCATATTCTGTCCTTAGGTATAACAATCAGTACAGCTGGCTGTAAATCTAAATAAAGACTGTTAGTAGGTGCCCCCCATTTTAAGTTGAAGGGAATTGTGGAAGAGTTTCTTAGATGTTTTGAAGAAGTTAAGATTTATCAAATATTGTATTTGCAATATACTCCTTACCTATTAGTGTTTGATAGATACTCTGTTATTATTAAAAATGGTGATTTGTTCTTAATGAATTCTTGCCATGTCCTACACATTTTTGCTTCCTTTTCTGAGGGTCTACCATCTATTTGATGTTTTGTTTTTAAAGTTAGGAACTCCTAGTCTTTGGTTCTAGAATCTACTTCTTCCTGTTTTTGAAAAATTGAAGTACATTTACTTAATTCAGTGATGTGAGTCTTTTTACATGCTCTTTGATTAGTAGGACTGTATAAAAATAGGAAGTGTTTTCATGATCATAGGTAGAAATTTTTTGGATTCTGTGTAGTGTTGTTGGGTCTGTAGGTTAGCCAGTTTTAAAAAACAGATTGCTTATTGTTTTAGCTGGAAGATGATCTGTTTTTGTGGAATGTTAAAGCATTTAAATAGGAGAATATATGACAGGATACAGTGTATAACACATAGTAGGTGCTTAAGTAAATATCTTTCCTCATTTTTTTAAGTAAATATCTTATCCTCATTATACTGTGTGTTCCACGTAGCTGAGTCCATACTTTTTCTTAATAACTGTTACTATACCTAAGCCTTAGAAATAGATAATGTGCCTCTGTTGGTATTGTATTTCTTTCCCTTGTATGTATTTATTATTGTCCCCAACTATTTCAAAATACTTACTATTTGAATATGTGTGCCAGAGTTATTTTGGGTTAGAATGATGACATTTGACTAGTACAAACATGCTTTGTGGTTTTTTTTTATATATATACAGAAAGAACCTAACTTTAAGATCAATTACTCTCTAAGATTTCTATTTAAAAGTTGGATTATGATTATATGTACCTGAAATTTAGAATTATCTTATAGTTTATAAGAATGAATTTATCAAGTCCATTTTCTAGGCCAGTGGTGGTGAACTGTGGCACGCTTATAGCAGTGGGCTGTCTGTATCGTTGAGAGCTCTAAAGGGTTTGCCATCACTTCTCTAGGCTCAGTATTTTACACACAGTATTTCATTTAACCCTCAATAGTTGTGAAGTAGGAACTCTGTTTTATAGAGGAGGAAACAGATTTACAGGTAAAATAACCTAATCAGATTTATATAGTAGGTGGCGATGGAGTTGGGATTTGAATGAGGTCTGCATTAAACTTTATGCTCTTAACTACTTTTTTTTTGTTTTTTTTTTTTTCTGGTATCAGGAATCGAACTCACAACCTTGCGCTTGCCAGGCAGGCACTGTGCCGCTGAGCTAAATCCCCAGCCCCACTCTTAACTACTTTAAAGAAAACATTTACTTCATTGTTCTATAAGAAAGTATGAGGATCTATTTATCAAGTGTGGAAATATATTGCTTTAGGACCACTCTTCTCAGATGTCATATATCTTTACTGCAGGGCTAAAGATGGTGTTAGGATTACTGCTTTGCTACTTTATGTCTCTGGGATTCCCTGGCATAGGAACTTTGGGAAACACATTTTATCCCCTTACCTCTGTGCACAGCGGCCCAGTCTTTTGTATACAGGTATATTTATGTGTTAGATACTTGGAACTCCTACCATACCAGCATTTTAACAAGACAATAAGATTAAATTTAATTTTATTTATTAATTGGCATATGATTTTTCTATAAAATGTGCTTTTGGCAATAATTGAACTATATATTTCATTAACCTTAAAGAATAAAATGGATTATTTGAACAAAATTGTAACATTATAAATGGACTATTTAAAATCTTGATTTTTGGGCAAGTGTGTATCAGTTATATTGCAAAATTAGGTTTTCTTTTGTCTTTTTATTTTTCTGCATTCTCTCCATATTCTTGTTCTTTACAAGTAAGGTAGATGCATGAAAAATTTCTGTGCTTTGGTTATTACACTAAAAGTATTAAAAGGCACAATAACTTTAACTGCAAGAAAGCTACTAAATTTAATTTTTTTTTTTTTTCCAGTAAACCTTGCACTTGCACTGGCAGCGAATGATTCGGTAGGTGTTAATAGGAATATTAATACATTAAAATATTTTTAAGGCAATGATAAAGAGCATATTACTTTTCATTTACTCATAAGCTAAATGGTATAATTTCACTCAGTTGCATGTTTGTAAGGACTAAAAGTGCTGCTATTAGTACTTGTTTCACTTAATAATGATGCATTTAAATGTTGACTGTATATTATTTGCTTTATTATCCCATGGAAATCTTTCATGTTCTTGCATGGATGTCACATCTTAAATTAATTTTTACCATTTACTGTATTCAGAAGATTATTCTGGTTCAATTTTTAAATGTTAGTATTAATTGTTTTTAAAGAAAAAGATACTCTAAAAGTAGTATATGCCCACTGAAACAAAATTCAAATAGAAGCCGGTGTGGTGGTACATGACTGTAATCCCAGTACTTGGGAAGCTGAACCAGGAGGATCACTGTGAGTTTGAGGCCAATCTGACCTACATAGAGAGACCTTGTCTCCAAAAAAAAAAAAAAAGTTCAAATACAATATGTGTGCAACATAAAACTGAAGGTTCATTGACTGCCCCTTTAATACTAAAAGATTCACTTGAGGCAGTAGTTTTATATATATCCATTTAATTTTTATTCTCCATATAAAAAATTAAAAAAAATTGCATGCATATGTATATGCACATACACATCTTTCTGTGCTATGCCTCATTCTTTTTTTTTGTCATTTGTTTATATATATGCCTTATTCTTGATGGCTACTGCATAATGACTGACTATAATATATCTAACCAATTCCTTTTTTTGTTGTGTTTTGTTTTTGTTTTTTGACATAGGGTCTCACTGTAGTTCTTGGGCTCACTATGTAGCCTAGGCTGGCCTTGACCTCTCAGTGATCCTCATGCCTCAGCTTGCCTGAGTGCTGGGATTATAGATGTGCACCACCATGCTTGGCTCAAAACCAATTCCCTTTTCATGAAATATTTAGGTTGGTTCTCTATTTTTCCTTCTTATTGTAATAATACTACAGTGGAATTGTTATGTAGTAATGACATGCTAATTAATAATATTTGTAGGATAGATTCCTGGAAATAAAACTACTAAATCAAAAGGTATGCACAGTTCACACTGTATGTATGTACTTAAAAGATTTCTTTGCTTTGTTTTTTATTTTAGCTATAGTCTATGGGAGTATCCATTTTTCATACTTACAGTCATTTAGGTATTATCTATATTTCTAAATTATTAAAATAAAATAAAATTGAATATTGAATATACTATGGATCTCCATAAATTATCAGTTAATAAAAACACACATTTTTCAGAATTGCTTTTAATTTTTCCTTTATTCCTATTTTATAAGGTATAGGCAAAACTCATTTAATACGTTTAGCTGTGACTGTGCTTCTAGCTTATTTCCTACCATTACTATGCAATTTCAGTTCCCAGTGCATAGCACATTTGGTTAAAATAGTGTGTGTTATCTGTACAGATTTGGCATTGGTGTAGGGAGTCCAGAATCTACCAGAACCCAGAACTAGTCATGTAGATACTCATGTCTTCTGTTATTTGATTCTGTTATTTCTGAAAATTGGGAAATAATAAAAAATAATAACAAATACTACTTGATGTAATGTGAAGCATTTTATTGCAGTAATAATAAAATAATATTTTAGGTAGCTAAACTTTATTCACAGCAGCATCAGTACTGTAATTGGATGTTCAGAGAAGAAAATATAATCATGTTTCTGCTTAAGTTGTGCTCCTAGAATGAAAAAATTCTGCCACTAAGGTCAAATTTTTTTCTTTTTAAATTTCCTTACAACTCTTTTCCTTTTATGAGGGATCTATGTTGTTGTATCCCATCTTGTCTTCTTAAACTTTTTGTTTTCCTGGAGGACATTCTTAAATCCTTCTGTTGTTTGGTGGGACAGAATAATGATCAGCCAAAGATGTCTACATCCTAATTCCTAGAGTCTGTGCACATATTTTCTTTCATGCCAAAAGACTTGCTGGTATGATTAAGTTAAAGATCTTGAGATGGTAAGATAATCCTACATTGTCTGGGTAGGTTCGGTGTAATCAGAGGGATCCTCATAAGTGAAAGAGGGGAGCAAGAGGGTCAAAGACAGAGAGATTTCATATAAGACGAATTCAGTCCACCATTGCTGGCCTTGAAGCTGGAAGGGGGACCACTAGTCAAGGAATGTGGGAACTAGGGAAGACAAGGAAATGTATTCTGCTAGCCCCCAAAAGGCGTAAAATTCTGCCAGAACCTTAATTTCAGCTCACTGACACCCATTTGAACTTTGATAATTTCTAATAAAAGAAGTAGAAAACTAATATGTACAGGAAATAACATTTCTTAGTTCTTTTTTTGTTAAATTGTTTTGTTCTTTAATTCCTATGATGTTCATAGTTAATAGTTTTACCAGAGATGTAATTTCAGATTCAAAATAATTTTCTCTGTGAATTTTGAAAATAATATACCACTTCCTTCTAGCATGCTAATAATATTTAATGTTAGTCTGCAGATTCCTTTGTAATATCATGTATTTTGTTTTCTCAAAACTTGTAAGGTTTTCTTTATGACTTTCAAGTTTTTTTTTTTTTTTTTAATGATGTAGGGTTTTATTATGTTGCCTAGGTTGGCCTCAAACTTACAGTTCTGCCACAGCCTCTGAATTAGGCAGGATTACAGGCAAGTGTCACCATGCCTGACTGGCTTTTAAGTTTAAAATTGTCACAAATATGTGTACAGTTGTTAGCTTTAAAATTTTTAATCTACTTGCAAATGGCTCCTGCAATATCAAGGCTAAATCTTTTTCAGTTGAGGGAAAACTTCTATTCACTGATTATTTTTGGTGATGTGTTTGTTCTTTCTTCAGAAACCTATAATGTAGATATTGACCTCTTATACTTGTAAGGTTTTCTTTATGACTTTCAAGTTTTTGTTTGAAAAAAAAAAAACAACTCCCATACTCTGTCGGTCTTTATTGTGATTTGCAAGGTGTCTTAGACTTTTTCACATTGTTATTTTGGATTTTAGTTGTGTAGTCCTTCTGAAAAATTAATTTTTAATTGGGAAACTATTTTTTTCTAGTTTTTCAGGACTGTTTAATATCTTCTACTTGTTTCTACAAAGAATGGTTGTTCTATCTTTTTGAATCTCTCTAAGAATGCTAAGTAGAATTAATAAAAACTGTTTTGATGATCTTTGTTTATTTAATATGGTTCTTGTAATGTGGCGCTCTGACTGGCAGAATCAGCAGCACCTGGGAACTTGTGAGACATACTTGGAACTATACCCCGGACCTGCAGATCAGAAACTTTGGGGGTGCAGCTCTGTAATTTATACTTTAACCAGCTTTGTAGGTGGTTTGATGCTAAAGATTGAGACTATGGGTCTAGAATTTCTTTTGTAGTGCTGAGGGTGGAGCCTCAGACCTAGTGCATGCTGGACAGTGCTCTACCACTGAGCTACATCCACAGCCTTAGAGTTCTTTTAAACTTCTAACCTGCTCATAGCACACTTTTTTGTTTTCTAGGGCAATTATAGTTTTAAATTACTTTTTTTTCCTTGTCATTTCAGTGGAATTTGGAAAAAAAGAGAAGTACATGTATAGTTAGGCAACCTTATTGAGATAAGAGTCAGTGATATGTTAAGAGCCAATGATTTTTTAAAAATTAGGACACTTAGTTAGTTTGGGGAAAGGTCCCCTTCTTCCTTAAGGAAGGAGGGGAAATGGAAAATTCAGTAGGTGGGAAGGTAGATAAGTTTTCGGGTGAGCGTTTCCCTTAATTTCATTATCTTTTTAGCTTAAAGCAATGGTTGTTATAGACAATGAGAGGTAAGTATTTGCTAAGGAATCAAAAGATGAAAAGAATAGTTAAAATAGGAATTGATTCCTTTATGTTAAATGTTGCTAGTTTTGATGAGAAGTTACCTTGTAAAATTTATTTTTCTGTTTCTTTCAGGCAGCAGGGATGAGAATAGCATGATATTTAATGCTTGTGTATATGACAGGAAAATTGACAACAAAAACATTGACACTATCCGTCACTACTTCTCAGAAAGTGTTTAGTCTCTTTAAAGTGTTTTTAAACAAGTTTGTTAAATCTCCTTTAAGGTCTTTAGTGTTTTATGATCATGAAGAAGGAATTGTTTTATTTTCATTTTTTGACATTTTGTGGCAGAGTTAGTGTAGAAATTATGAAGAAAGCCAAGAAATGTGAGCAGCATATTTTGATAATTCCAAGATAATATTATATAGTACTTTATGCTTGGTGACTGTCATGTCCTCTGTGATAAATTTATATATATATATTTAAGAAAGAAATTTGATATAGCTTATATACTTGATTAATAGTGTTTTTGATTAGGCAGCAGCATGTTTGGCTTACGTAAGATTTTTGAAATATGATCTGCCACAAGACTGCCTGCATATAGAAAAGAAGAGCTGTATCTGTTCTACCTGATTTATATCAATCTGGCAGAGTCCTTTGCTCTGTTTCCCAACTTGAGATTTTATTATTACCCTTCTTAGAAGACATATTTTGTGTTTGGAGGAAGCTCATGGTTCCTAGCCATCTGTTTGCTGAGTGGCTGGTGTCTTTGGAGCTTCTCTAGTCGTTCATTACTGTGGAGTCTTAGTTCTTCATTCATTTCCTATGTAAGATGGTCTACTGACTTGCTACCTCTTAGGTCGGCTTTGCTGAAGACCTTGCAAACTCTTCTCTCCTACCTTTTTAGTGGGTTGCTGCCTGTTTTTCAGCACTAGAATAGGAAAATCTAGTAAGATAAAGTTGTAGGTCTAGGGCAGTGTAGCGAACCTATAGCATGTGTGCTACAGTGAGCTGTTTGTGTCATTGAAAGTTCTAAAAGATTTGCCATCACTGGTCTAGGGCAAATAGGTCCAGCAAGGTATTCATTACATTTTTACTTTTATTATTGTTTTTGTGTGTGATGATGCTTTGGATCAAGACCTTGCACATGGTAGCTCATTTTATTTTTAATATTGGCTTT